TTTCAGAAATCACATTTCTATGGCAACATTGTTATGCATACGTATGCCGTATTCTAATTGAGATCATAGGGGGAAAATATACATTACATCACAATAATAGGTTTCTTAATAAAAAAAAGGATTTTTCTATGATTCCAAAGCTTGTACATTTCAGCATTACATTTTGGATACTTCCTCTTTCAAATATGTTATACAGTGAAACCTGTCCTAATTTCCAAAAATCAAACAATCTTTTTAGTAAATGAACACATTTACCTGTATAAACGAACTGTCCCATTGGCATTTGCTTTAAGACAGGTTGCAGTGTATATTTGAAACTCTTCATACCACACAAGAAAGATGAAGTCTTTCAGCCAAACGTGTAACAGAAATAAAAACCAAGCTGTTTACTCAGAAAGCAATATTCTTTTCAAGAAGAGCACAAAATTTTGTTTTTTCAAAACTTGACGACAACAATTCCTTGTAAATGCTCTTCTTCATTTACCAGAAAGAGAAAGAATTCAAATGGTTAAAAAATAGCCATGGGTTAGGTGTACTAAATCCCAAATTTGCTATCCAAACTGCTTTGTTGCATGTCCATTTCAAATCTAGCAGTATCGATGCCACTTTAAAAAAAGTTTCATCTAAAGGCATATGAATATGTACAGCAACTGCCTTTGTCAGTGCACCAAGACAAGTAAGTTACTGCTTAGTATATTTGAAATGCAAAGGATAATGCCATTAAAATGGAACTTTCCTACCACCTATACATGTACAGTGTAAACCTGGTAAGTAATAAACAGAGTTGATGTGTAATTGCTGAAAAGTGGTTCAATTCAACTTTCAGGCAATGTCATCAACATAGTTTATTAATATTAAGGATGTTAAACGTATGTACCTGTAGTAAAGTAATTCAAATTCAATATTTAAAAGTTTTTCAGGAACCTAAGATGCAGTTGGGTCTGATTGCCATACCATACATGCTCCATTAGTAGAGCATGTGCTCAGGTACGTGACAGAGGCATGTCTGCGTTCAAAATGAGTTTTATTTTAATGATATTGTTTAAAGTAATTACAATTTCTTGTTTACGTTGAACTTCTGTTGGAGATGTGATTCTAATCACAAATCAAACCCAACTACATCTTGTATAAATCCATGAGGTTTCAAGCATATTTTATTTCAAGCAAATAAACTGAATAATCCATCTGATCTAAAAACGAGCTGACCGGGAAACATTGGACAACAGTATAATGGGAAACCCTATAATATCAGATTCATTGCAATTCAAGTGTACCGTGGTAACATTTCCATTTGCCAGAAATAAGGAAAGTAATTTATCAAAACTGATATCAGAAGATCCAATTTATCCCATATTGTTTTTGATCCATTGAAAGCCCATACGCTAATGTAAATGACATGGATTTGTCTTTGGTCAGATATAGACATACTTCAATGATCTAGCATATTATATATATGCAATTTCTGGATTATGTGGTTATGGTACAATGTACCTTCTTTTTACAACATTTTTCTAATTTGACAATGCACAAGAACTTGTGATTCACTTGTGAAAATATTATTTTTGGCACAAAAATTAAAAAAGCTTCAAATGTTTCTGGTATCACAATGTGTTCAATTAATATTGACCAAAAAAAGTGGCATCAACCACCAGATCAGAGATAACTGTTGTTCCATTACAGGGATTACAAGGTATTAGTGAGTTTTGACAACTAATTAACATTCTTAGTACCAGGAGTATATACAATTCATGGCAAATTAAAAATTATACACATTTTGCATTATACACAAAGAAAAAATAAATTCTTTGTAAATGCTTATGATTCTGAGTAAGAATACCGTGTCCAGTGTGTCCATCAGTGATTTTCAACCATAATGTTAGCCTACTCGATAATAAACAGAATTCGTCCGCAATGAACATTCATGACGATACATGTATTACTGTGAGCGAAAAAGCAACATAAGCAGTAGTTTTGCATTACAGCTCAGTGCTTTGCTAACAAGGTAGCAATATTGATGTGAGCATTCTATTTAATATAAACAGTTGCATCAATATTGCTATTGTTTCACAAAACTGTGAGCTATATTGCAATGCCGGTAATGTTGATTGGGTTGCTTTGTTGTTCACAGTAGAGAGAAATCACCGTACTATTTTTTGAAAAAATTGTATTAGTTATTAGGTTTTGAATTTTTTATTTTTTGAACACCAAAGCAGGGTACTTGTTTCTAGAAATAGATGAAAATAAATTAAATAATTTGTTTATTGTGTTCTATGGAAACAATGATTTTTTCCCCAATTCTAAGAATTATGAGTAGGCTTCCACCTCAAAGTCTTTTACGAGGGAACAAAATATTTCCTAAAAAATATATTGGTTAATGCAAATACTACAAACCCTGCTTTACAGCGAGTGCAAAGATAAACTGATCATGAAAAGCACAATTAATTTTCCTTGAAACATGGCAATATCCCTGGGAACATTCCTAGCAATGTTTTTTACGACTTTTGCATTAAACCTTAAAAATGTGCATATCGAAAGTAATTTAAATGGGGGTGTTTAATTTGATACGAAATGAACATGTGGATAAAATGACAAAGTAGAAATGTTTGTGTCCAGAAGCAATGTGCTGTTGGGATTAAAAATGCTGATGTCAAAATAAAGGCTACTGAAAATGTTTCAAAAGAAATTGATGGGAAGATTTCATGATCAGTTTATTTCAGCACTGGCTGTAACTCTTGCAGTGACGAATTTCCACAAGTCACGAAAGATCTTAAACTTTTTAAATTCTGAATTACCGGTAGATGTCTATTGTAGAATACACCTGTGCACTAGCAATGTCATACTGCAAAATTGATCCCCTTTGTCCAGCTAAGTCACTACACAACGTTAACCGCGGGCCCATCTCCACTAATAATATGGAAATTGCACAGAATAGTAAACAAGGAGAGAGAAATAAATAACAGAAAATTAGCTGTTAGACTCTCCAACGTTTTCCACAAATGATTAACTGGTTTGCATATAATGAGTATAATAATGATTGCCTAGTATGAAAGTTCACAATGTTGGTCAGTAGGCCACCAGGTTAACACTTGCCAAATTGTTGTGCCAGTCAGCGTGTATCAACAGAACTCAGACAAGTAGAAGATCAATTGCAGCATGATAATGGATAGTTGTAGTCTTCAAATATCAACTCAACAAGTGTTATAACAGAACACATCAGCAATGAGAATGTAGAAACTCAGGGTAATATACTTAAGTTTGAATTACTGTAATTTGGGCAACAGGCAATCAAATCATATGGTATGACTGTCCCAAAAAAATCCTATACTATTATAGGATTGTTATTTTCAGACAGCATACCTTATGATTCAAGTGCCTGTGCTTGGGGAAACAGCCTTTGAAGTAAAAAAAAGGCCAACCTGAAAAATCAGTTGAAATAATGAATTTCCTCAGCAAAGATATAATAAAATGTACCAGTATATCTGCTCCTTAGGATCCTTTGATATCTTTCAAACCATCGATTGTCAGTAATAGCCAGACAGTTGTGTCACTGCTATGAGCCATCCAAACACATGTAAAATGTAGATGGCCTTAAATTCACTGTATATTTCAAGTGAAAATTAGGCAATCTACACTACTATTACAGTTTAAAACAGTGTTGTCCTTACTACATTTGTATTGTAACAAGTTGGACTTGTTGTTAGTAGGTGGTCATTTCGACTGCTGAATTATTTTACACATCAAGGCAGAAAAATACTGAGGATAGGTGGTTGATTTCTCACCTTCCTCCTTCTAAGGACAACATTATCAGTAGTTTACTATATGGAAGGTTAGTTGAAACAGCCAAATATAAATAAAAAAATGACAACTAATTTTTAGTGTCTGTATTTTGGGAAATGATTTAACAAAAGTTAATGTTTTGCAAAGTGTTCCACATCAGCTGAGCAGTTCAGTCTTCAATAACTTCTCTTGATAAGTGTTCCATAAACTGTACACAATATCCAGTAAGCAGATTCACTTCAACTGAATGAAGCTGTAGAAAATTATAACATCCAACACATTCTGTTGACCATCCAATTGAGGGCAGCAGGGTGACAAATACAGGTACAGACTGTTGTATAATTCTAGGTGATATGATTGTTTCAATAACTTACTTACTTACTACAATAGGAGGGAGAAGGGATTGGCATTATGTGAATTTTATTTTTTTCGCGAACAAGTCCACACACAGAGTCTATAGGATCACTGCAGCTAGCCGAACAAAAACACACATTGACAGTTCGTAGGTTCACAATTTCAGGAGATTCATGGCGATTGTTCGTAGTAACATAACAGAAACATGATGTACACAGGCAGATAATTGCGATGAACACACATCATCAGCATTTCGTAGACAGATGTAACAGCAGCACACATGTGGGTATTAAAGCAGAAGACTTCAACTCTTCAGGACGTTTTAGGAGACCACAAGAGCACACACGAGTGGGTTTCAGAAATACTGCAGCAGCACAAATAACGAATGCACAAAACAATTTTCTTTCAGTTCCTTTATGGCAAACAAACACAATAATTTCACAGCGTTCCTTGGTATTTCCTAAGCACACATTTCCAAATGCAGATGAAATTGCATTATCTGGTTTCAACTGATGAAAGAGAATCTGATTTGCAAACCGAGCTACACACACTGACTCCGGAGAAATTACAAAACGACGAGACGCAGTTCAACAAGCATTGGAATCAACGAAGACACACAGAAAAAATCTATTTCCTTGTGGCACACAAATTCCACAGGGTTTAAAATAAGAACACCGAATGAAATAATTTTCAAACCGAAGAAGTGTCATCATTCAGAGTTTTCAATACACAAGGCAAAATACTACACAAACAGCGAGTAGACTGGATCCGATCCACTAATAAGCGTTTACTTTGAAGCACAACAGGAGCTTCTAAACATAATTTCTACAATCAAAAGTTGATCAAACTTGCAGAATCTAATGATCAATTTATGCAGCACCACGCACAATAATCACAACTAAATGATCTTCCTTTGACGGATCCTCTCCTAAGGAAGGTGCCACACGCAACAAGTATTTATGTGAGAATTCACAAGGTGGGAAAGCATGTAACACACCAATCTCGCGTTCTTTATCCTTGTTTATTCCGGTAGAAGGCAGGCTTATTACACCAGCAGCTTGTTTTTGTTGCAGATAAGATACTAAATTCCGCAGTGGTCTCATCTGTGTCTGATTCGGTTCTTCCACGTTCTGTTGTGATCCACTCAAAGCAAGGAGAAGGCAGTATCCGGTGGAACCAGCTGACGAAATTCGACGAGTCACTTCCTCTAATTTTGGCTGGTCCAAGCGTAAACGTTGCGTTATACGCAATACAGGAGAATCACTTGACGATGAATCACACAATAAAGTATCAACAACACTGGGATCTCCACCAATCAGATGCATCCTTGTAGCAAATGCACTGTTTTTCAAAACAACAGATCCATGCCAAGCTACAGGAAAACAACCTGCAAGGTCATTCAAGTTGTCAACTTCCTCCACTTTGTCTCGGTTCCGTCCCTTTTTGTCGTGCTTCAAGCGATATTTTCCCACTTTATCAATCATTTTAGAGTCTTCCTCAAATCTGTCAGATTTACTCCATCCGTCACTACTGCTTGAACGGTGACGCTTTGTTCGCATGTCTTTTGGTGAAATATCACGTTTATTAGTTGTCAGTCTGGATGGAGAAATATGTCTGGAATCACGAAATTTTTCAGGAGAGAAGTCTCGTTCATGAATTGGCGATCGTAATTTACGCTGGTCCCTAATCCTTCCTGGAGAACTATTCCTACCAATCGGTGACATAGCACGTTTGCGTCTATCGATTGGCCCCATATCGCGAGCCCTGCTTGGAGGAATGTCGTTCATACGACGACCACGGTCCCAATCAGGTTCACCATGACGTCCCATACCACCATGATCACGCTCAATAGGCCATTCGTCCCTGCGTGGTGGGAGAGGTGGTGGAGGCGGCAAACTATAACCACCAGCGTTAACTGCACCCCAATGGTCCAATTCTCCATCTCTATAAAGGGGTGGTGTCATTCCACGTTCAGGATTTCGGCGATATGGGTCTGGCACAATATTATCATGTCGTGGGTGCGGTGGAGAATATTGATGAGGTACTGGATATGCTTTAACAATTGATTCAGGATCAGCAAAATCAACACGCAGACGTCTATCTGGTCCTCCCAATGGGAAGCCTCGCATTTGAGAACAGGCAGCTTGTGAAGCATCCAAAGAATCGTACGAAATGTAGGCATGATTATCACCTTTGATGTAATCAATTTTCCGTATGGCACCAAATCGGTCAAATTCTCGTTCAAGAACAGCAAGAGAGGTCCAAGGACCAAGGCCTCCGACCCAAAGACGAGTTGTTGGAACAGGTTTTCCATAGCCTATTTTACAAATATTCCTTCCCAAATACTGGCCTGACATAGCAACTTTGGCTTTATGTGCCATATCTAAATTCAAAAATTTCACAAAAGCATATGCATTACCCTGACCTCGCATGGGACGTTTAACATCAACATCTTCCACAATACCAAAACGGTCAAACACACGACGAAGCTCACTCTCCGCAACAGCGGCTTCAAGATTTCCAACAAACAGTGTGCGTGTAGCTCTTTGGTCATCTTCCGGCAGCATATGTTGTTCACGTGGTGTGAAGAAATCATTCGAGTTTCCATAGTTGCGCTGTTGTCGGTTATTATCATAGGCAGTATAATTGCGTTCACGAGGAGTCACTTCTCGAGGCAAGCTTCCATGCCTGACATGCATCCTCCTTGGAGGGGACGTATTACGATTGGCATAACTTGAATTATCTGGACTTAAACTCCTTTGTTTTATAGGGCCATGATCATGGGGCAAATACACAGGTGTGATATCAACAGTGCGATCGAACAACACAAGCCTTCCGGTTTTAGCGCGTCGTGCCTCGCGGGCACCGTCGGTAACCCTAAAATTCACATAAGCCACCCTCTCGTCTCCGGCAGTGTAAGTCAGACGCACATTGACTTCACCGAATTTTTTGAATTCATGATACAAGGCGTCTTTGATCGCCATATCAGAAACATGCACACTGAAATTTGACACTTTCAGGGTTCGATATTCCTGTTTAGCATTCATGCGTTCCACATATCCACTATCACGGTCACGATCAAAGGCATCTCTGCCAACATCTCTGTCGTTACGAAATCGGTCACGTTTTTCCCTCTTTTCATTTTTCCCGTGGCTACCACGACTCGCTTTACTCCTACCTTCACGCCTTTCGTGATCGCTCTCCTGGCTGATACGATCTCTTGAACGTCTATCGCGCATATCTGGTGTCACTTTGGATCTCTTGTGTTTTGAGTGCGAGTGTCTATCCTGTTGACGTTTCATAATTCGGCAGTATTTCACAATTATTTCTTCGGAAAATATCAACCACGAACATTCAACCTACAACAACAGTCGCCATTTTGGATAGGCCTCTTCAGAAGCTACAAACAATATATTACTCCGCAACTTTCTATTACACGTTTTTGCTGTTTCTAATATGAACAAAACCTAGTTCTGTGACATGCATGTATAAATCTCGAACAAATATAATAACATAACGCAGTTTTATGAATTTGGTAAGGCGTATAAAGAACTATTTTCTTCCAAGAGAATCTTACAAATTATTAACCAGGCGGTGGTAATCTGTCCCAGGCAAGCTGCGTGTGACGTCAAAGGTCATTAGCATTTTTTACCGAGCGTTATTTTTAGGCTTTGGGATTCGCTGCGCATGCGCTTTCGGGGTAATCGTATTTTTGAGTACATGTGTTGGCACTGCAAACTTTCACGTCACTCGAACATCCAACTGTTTCCGTATTACAAACGAAGAAACAATCACAATTTTTTTTTTTACTTGAGGAATCATTCAACAATCGAGAATGGATTCCCAAATGTATTCGGTCTGTCTATGCACGGAAATCTAAAAAAAAAATGTATAAAAATGTTTACAAAAGATATGATATTCAAGTTTACAAATATATATGTAAGCATAACAAAATTACAAATACCGGTATATATTATCGCAAACGAACATAAATGTAAGGAATACTACTGTATTTGTTGCACACGCAAATAACTACCCCAGTCCATTTTTCGGCAGTGAGGCAGAGAAAACAGTCGGAGACAAGTGAGGAAAAATAAATGAAAAAAAAAAAGAATGAGCGTACAAGCATAAAAATAGAAGCCTACTTTGGGGATTTTTTAAACATGAATGCAGTATGTTTTTCTAATTTAAATGTGATTTCTTTGAATAATTGCAACACTTGGATTACATAAACAAATGTAATATCTCCACATTGTGGTAGATATGTCAGCCGTTTCATTATACAAATTCATGTGTGTTCAAACGCATTCATTCAAATGCAGACATTCGTCACGTCACATTGCCTAATCTTTTGTGAACAAGATATGACCCTCATGATAACTACCACATACATGTAGCTTTATTTTCGTCTGTTTTGTGTTTGTTTTGAATAGTTTACTTTACTACTAATTTCTGTATGTTTTCATTAATACTAAATTGTGTATCAAATAATATATATATCTATCAGTAATATGACGCAATACCGCGTGGATTTAAATATATATCTAGATATCAATCTGATTAAAATACGATCCTAGTTGGGGCTCTAATTTTTTTTCAAAATATGTTTTATTTTTTTTTTATTATTTTATTTTATTTTATTTTAGGCCAGACTTTTTTTATTCCTTGTTTCGCGAGTTTTTATAAGGCAATTTTATTGAGGAGGGCGGAAAAATAAATAAAATTAATTCTTTTTTTTTTCATTAGATTTGTGTGATTCCCAAAGAATTGTAAGTGAGATCATTGATCGAAGAAAAGAAATGAAATAACATTTTATTCCATGTATAACCTTGTTTCTCATCTGCGCGAGACTTCGGTACTTCGATCATGATACTCCCACGAAAATGCAACTTGGATTTGTTATGCGGCGGGCGGTAAAAAAATGAAAATAAAAATAATATTTTTTTAGCATTTTTTTGCGCTTACAAGTCGGCGGGCGCGAGAAATTACGCTGAAATAATTTTATTTTATTTTATTTTATTTTATTTTATTTTATTTTATTTTATTTTATTTTATTTTATTTTATTTTATTTTATTTTATTTTATTTTATTTTATTTATTTTATTTTATTTTATTTTATTTATTTTATTTTATTTTATTTTATTATATTATATTTTATTTTATTTTATTTTATTTTATTTTATTTTATTTTATTTTATTTTATTTTTATTTTTATTTTTTTGAATCGGATTTCTTATTTATTTGCTGATAGTTTTTAATAATAATAATAATAATAATAATAACTTTATTACACTACTAAAAAACCTTCAGAGGGTTTTTGTATGGTAAGGAACATAAATACATACAATACATAAGAGATAAAAATAAAATGTTAGTAAATAAAAATAAAAAAAATAAATTAATTACTTTCTGTGGTTTTAAAAATTGTGCTCTTTAAGTATTTTGCTAAAGCTATATTATTCTCCATAATCTTTTTAAATATGGAATTCACATCCATTGTGTAAATATTTATTGAACACTCATCAAACAGTTTTTTTCTTTGTTCTATATAGCCAGTACAAAATAGCAGGAAATGTTTTTCATCTCCTAATGCTTTAGTGTTACATTTATTACAGTGTCTATTTTCTAATTCTATTTTGGGCTTTGTTCTTCTACCTAATTCTATTTCTAAGTTTAATAGTACTGGTAATCGCGGAAGTCCATAAGGTGGCGATAGTTAAAGTAATACAAAATAAGATGTATATAATAATATCAAACTAACTGCAAATTATATATCTATATCTCGGATTTGTTTTTTGTTTTTGTTTTCAATTTACACCGACAGTCTGTCAATACCACCATTTTTATTTTTTATTTTTTTGGGAGTATAATTTACGAGGTAATTTAACCCTATTGAACTACCCATACTCAGTAATTATCTGCGTAATTCAGTTCAGTATATATTACTGACTAGGAATGAATCTGATTGACGTTGTTATACGATTATAATATAATACAGCCACGGTCATCTGTTGTGTCGATAATATATTTAAATCCATTTGCAAAAATCGTGGTATATATATACTTGCCAAGTGGTGAACTTTGTGTGGTTTGAAATATTACGCTATCTAACTTGAGCTGTGATCGGTGATTATAATACGTACAGCAGATTTTACAGAAGTACATGGTTATTTTTAATTTTACAGACCAGATAATATCCCCATATTTACTACGCTGTCTTGGGCGGAAAACTACTTCGTCACGAGTTGTGGTTTAGTTGTGTGAGTCATTACTCCGCCCTCTTCAACAGACTCGAATGTAAAGTACACCAGAGGCCGCTGATGGCGCAGTAGTTTTAAAAGTCTCGACCGATGGGTTGACGTTAGATGAATAGAGTAAGCCGGGGGGTTATGCTTCGACGCAATCGAGCATCAATAGTAAACAACTGTTAAATGTCATGATAATATAAACTACTTGAATATTTGATACATAATGTAAATATCTACTTTGAAATAAATTTCATGTAAATGTGATAAATAATGTTGATGTCCATAGACAATTCCTGTGTTAGCTGAATTGGCGGTACACTGTTTGATGTGAGCTGTCAGTGATAACCTTGGTGAACTTAGTTTAATTGGATGGCTCATTACTAAGATACACATGTCATGCGTATATCTATAAGTACAGATATAGCGTAGATCTTTAGCAAGCGAAAACTTGTAAAATATATTCAACAACACGTCTATATATCATTTCAGTGAGACATAATTGGGGGATGACATCATACTTAAGCTGTTAATAATGCCCGCGGAGGTGGCTGTGATTGGGTTAATGTTGAAAATACGATGACTCAATACCATGTGATTGGTTAATGCATCTTTAGAAACTTCTGGAGGTGCATCTGGCCATGGAGCTAATATTTTAGCTACATGATCTAGCTATAAGTTTTCGCTGAGTGGTTGAAATAGTTGGTGTTAATCTCAGATAACTAAAAATGTATTAGTTGTCTGAGTGTTAAACGAGCGGTGGTTTCGACCGCCCGCGACCCTGCTTGTGAATTGAACCACGGTTACTAAAAAAGGTTTTAGTAACCGTGATGGAACATTAGGTTGAACCTATTACGTCACGAGTCAGGGGCGGATCTAGGATTCTGGAATAGGGGGGGGGGCGATAAGTTGACCGAAGGCTAAGTTCGCGAAGCCTTGTTGGTTGTTAAAAATAGGGGGGCCGCGCCCCCGGCCCCCCTCTAAATCCGCTCATGCGAGTAGTTATTGAAATGAACGAGTTTTATCCCCGCGGAGTTTAACAATATACCCTATAATATTGTTGTTGGCTTCATGGTCAACTCACAAACCCATTACAAATTGTCGCCAAGTGGTGTTCACATGTACTAAGGCGTTTTATGTTCACATCTGTTTTGACGCCAGCAAATGTTACGTAATAGTTGTTTGAGTAATTCCGCCACAACAGCATAATAGACAACATACTGCAGTGCCATCTGCATGCCGATTTGTTATCAAGTGTTTGCATTACGAGTAAAAAAACAAACATTTTCAGGATTTGAGTTCAACCAAAGACGTTAGAAAGAGATTGTCTTTGGTTCAACAAAATCATGTAATCTTTTTTTTTTGTCCCATTGTCCCATTTTTTTTATTCTCACTACCAACGCATACATTTTTCACATTTTACATGGTGACATCAGTGTTCCAATAAAAGTTGAACAAATTGAATGAATAATTGTTGTTGCCATGACACTTAACGGTGCTTGTGGATATCTTTCCAACAGTTTCAAATGATTAAACAGAAATGGGAAGGATTAATTTTGAAATGTCGCTCTTATGAATTCTCAAAAGTATAACTTTTTATGTGTGTATTTTTTACACGTATTGTGATTAGTGTCACCAAGTTAGTTTTGCCACTCACACATATAAGCTCATTAGAGATAGCTTCGTGTATAAATAAGCTCTGAAGTTAGAAAAAAAATAATTTTTTGACAATTAAGCGACATCATATATTCAAAACTGTGACAGTCATACCAGCCCCTACCCAAGATACGACGGTCATTTCGTAACCAGTGCATTCTGATGAGTTGGACATGATGAAACCATAGGGTTTATGGTGAGGTTAAAGCGCGGTGGTCGTCGCGCAGCGCGTGTTCGAATTTCATGTAAATAAACAATGTATTTTACACGCGTTGTATACGTCGCTGTGAGTCCCATATCGAACAGGACGCAGCGACCACCGCCCTTTAAGCGCTAAAACCAGTGCGCGACGATAACGTGGATGAACAATAAAATCATCTGTTTAATAAGTTACGTAACGTTTTCCTAAACGTACCATACAATAAATTACTTAAAAAATCATATCGAAGTTATATAGCAGTCCATCTAGGAAAGAATGCGGTTATATACCATGAGCCGTGAAAATATTTTAATAATTTGAACAAACCGAAACTAAATAAAACTAATTATAATTAATGATTATAATAAATAATACCTTGGAGGGTTATTGTAATCATTGAGCCACTTTTTTGAGCTCCATGGACAAATAAAATCACCCCAAAACACAAACAACCAATATGAATTTAGGGTTAGACCAGCACGACAATTTTCCCAAACCAGTGTAAAGCGCAATATATCGACCGATATTATGTCTATATTGTTATCCGTTGCCTATCAAACCTCGATTGCGTATGGTTGACTCACCTGCAGGACCATGCGGGTTAATATAAAATGAGACACGGTGCTTAAGCTATTTACGCTTTTTAGCAGAAATATGCTTTGATATGATGTTATTTTTATTTACAAAGTACTAAATAACAGTAATAATTATTAGTTTACTTGTATATAACGAATTGTGAAACAGGAAAATTCACCAACTTTATTAATCGTTGGTTTACAGAGGATTGTGCAAGCTGACCGAAATACTGTATGACGTCATTTCTTTATTTGACCTTGCGCGACTCACGACGCACAGACATCGTAGTCACAAGTTGTCAAGTCGAACTACTGGTATAGTTGTGGGCTCTCTGCCGGATAATACTCATTGGATTTGGAAGGGGACTACTCGCCGTGCTGATTGAGGTCTATATCTAGTAATTTCGTCCACAAATATGATGGGTGAGACTCAGTCGAAAAATTTACAACCTAAAAAGACGCCGGTCACCGAGGACTATAGGATATCGAGTAAAGTGCTAGGATTAGGAATAAACGGTAAAGTGTTAGAATGTTACGCAAGAAAGAACGGGACAAAATACGCTCTCAAGGTAAGGACAGTTGGTGATTGAATTCGTACTATTGCGTTGCAAACCATCAGCTAAATACTCTCGTTTGCTCGCTTCCATATCGCAAGTGCTGAGTGATAATGGCTTCTCCTTGTTCAGGTCATATTCGATCAATCACCATGGGCGTGGATGCATTTCGACCCCCAATTCCATTCAACCACTGAATTATCCAGTTTGTACCAGTCATATTCATGATCACCACACTTCGTAAATTATAACCATATTAAATATACCGAATAATCGCATAGTAAACTAAATCTTATACCACAAAACTAAACTTAAATTGAAGCCACACAAGCGTAACTGTGAAATTTTAATTTTCAAGTCTATGGTTGTAACCAGGAACTCAAAGGTGAATTGTATGATGTAATGTAAACTTGTGTTGATATCAAAATAGAGCATATGGATGTAAAAAAAAATCTAAAATTGTACCTAGCTAGTAACAAGGAATTGATTTCATTTTAAATCTGTAGTATTTATACCAAAATTATAGCACAGTCCCACTGAGGACTGTGATTATAGTATGTCCTCTATGTTGGAATTCCTAATAAACAGAGCAGCTATCATTTGCTTTATAGTTTATTTCCATATTTTAATCATAAACTATAATACCACTATTCGAGTATTTTGAAAATAAAAAACATGTCGTTAATTCGTAAATAACATTTTTCACTTCTGTTAATTCCCCAGGATATTGACCTCACCTATAATACTTGTATTGCTAGGCATGTTCGAAGTGATAATAGGCATTCTTTCAAAGTCTAAAATATTGTAGCATCTGGAAAGTCGTCTTCTTGTACACACAGAAAAACAAAACATGCATAATTTATTTACATTTTTTAATTATAGAATGCTCGGTTTCCCCTGGCGTTACCACATAAAACTATTTGTGGTGTCATTGACCCTTTGCTCGGATATCTAAACATGGACCTTAGTTAATGCTTCATGAATCATCATGGGACATTCCACTGTGAGATCTCTGATTGAACATTACATGTCCACATGGTTTTTGTACCTTGAACACTGACATTTCAGTTGCTACATCTCCACCTCTAATTAATTTATTACCACCCTATAATTTATTTTTTTAGAAATAGTCATTCTGACACATACTTAGAAATCATTATTTCGTTTGATTGGAAGAAATATAATATAATACAATTGGAAGTCCACAGTGATTCATGACAGTTCCTATGGTAATTATGTCAACTGAGAAACTCACAAATCATAATAAAATGATGTCAAATTCTATAAATGTTGATTACTTCGCCATATGCTGCCTTGCATATGATTTCTTCCTTTTCGTTGAATATCAACGCATCTCCCCCTTGTGTTGGTCGCTGATAGTTACCATCTGCAGTACATGTATCTTGGTGAGGAGGAACTATGCTTCACTTCCCTCACATATTGGCAGTTGAGACAAAATACCCCCAATATTTTTTAATATCAGTATGAATTGCTGAAACCATTCCTCATGGCCGCCTAGAAGGCATCTCTGCTTGATTCAGGTTCCCGTCTAGACTCCGCTGAAAGGCATTTCTCATCAAAATGAATAACTACAAAAAGATTTCACACATTGTGGCATTCCATATTGATGATCACTACATATATGCTTGTGTTCCTGTTGAAATAATATATAGCAAGGGATTTATCGCAGCAACAAACAGTAACTAATACAGCAGCGTTGGGGTTATATTTAGATGTGTTATTCAGTGCCATTCAGTGCATGTAGAACATGTGGTGTATGTTTATCATTGCTGTCAAATGACTCATCATAATACACTGTCCAGGGTGGTCACTATTTATTAGTATCAGTCTGTATATACTGTAGAACTAGAAATTGTCATGCAAAATCATCTTAGGCAGGTCAGATTGATGCATGTCCTGGTTAATATGTTCATTCATATCAATCACTGTCGTGAGTACACATAATTATTCAACGATGACACAGATCATAGTTTAATCAAGACAAATAATGGTTTGACAAAACACAAAGCAAGATGCGGGTAAAAAACTCCTCCACAGACACAAATTATACATAGTGTACTGATGTTTCCATAATTTTATTTGTAAGTAGTGACTAGTTTATAAAAAAAAACATCAAACTTTTCTTCAAATCAAATTGAGATAACTGGATTGGCTATAATAATTTGTATGGTGGTCCACGATGTGCTGCAAATCCGTTCAGCTACCTGTATTGCACACTGTCTATTTTCAAACCTCAGTGCTGATGTCATAGAGGTCGCCCTTATCGGTGAATGCAAGTTTTCCAATTTATAAATACTTCCCGTTTATAAACCATAAATATGGGAAAGGCTTTTCTGAAAGCACTGTTCAGTACCCGAATGTCATAACAACAATAATAGCAGTCAGCCTAAAAAAATCGCACTTTTTTTTTCAGCGCATATCGAATTTATAAAATTTTGTAAATGAAAAATCACTTCTATTCATGTGTAACTAAATGTATGCGTAATATCATACTCTTGGGTCACATGACCGTCTGAGTATACAGCCACCACTGAGGATGATATCACCTACTGTAAAATCTGTATTAGAAGCTGTGACTTCTATTAAAATGGTACAATGCAACAGATAGGATGTGACTTCTAATACAGATTTTACAATAAGACTGATTCATATAATATTTCAGTCAGCATTTGCTAGGCTCTAGACAAACAAATTCCACTCTTTCATCCATATGTAGATATAAAATTATTTAACCTTGATTTAGTCCAATAATGATAATAATCTTACTATCATAATAATGTACATTTAAGTCGCTGGATACATTTTATTGAAAATGCATGGTCAAAATGCATAATGAAGAAAAATAATTAGCATAATTAAAAGATATAATAAATGTGAACATGTTTATCATTTATGAGCATATCTTATACAAATGTGGACATGTTATATCTTAAGCTAAACTTTCTTTTGATACGCACAACTCCAGACTTTATGCAAGTATCCTAAATAACAAGTGTTCTCCCCAGACATGAAATATTTGCCTCATGGTTTAATTTTTTGTCCCATGGTTTTTGCACAGAAATGTAGAAAAAATACAAGTGACAATTTATGATTGTAGAATAAAATTCAATTTTTTTTTTCATAATAAAAATTTGAGCTCACTCCCTGCTATAAAGAGGAACAAAATACTTCATGTCTGAGTCTCAAGTCACCCATAGATGGGTAATTGTCTCGTACTTTTTAAACTGAAACAACAATAGTGCCCCAGGTATTTATTTCCTAGTAATAATACTGTAACAGTATGCAAAATAAATCACCTTCACTCCTCTCCCCCCAAATAAAGTGATAACATGTTGTGCACATGATTTAATTATCCTTGACACTTTACTACACTGTAATACCATAAATCTGTAAACTGTTGTAATAATTGGCCCAGCTCCAGAGAACAGTGCCCATGCGTAATATGTAACAATACTATCAGAAGTAATGTCATAAAATTTGTTTGTGATATTTTATCGATCACTCACAGCATTAGTTATCAGTTGTGATAATTCATCATAAAAGTTTTATACTCTATGAATCATACATATTTGTATTTCCCATGGCAACCAAATAAATATGTAAAATCACAGTGAAACCGGTCAAAATCAAACAGGTCTTCAGTTTACACAGTGTTCATTTTAGACAGGTATTAATCATTGAAAACATTGTGTGTAGTGTCTTGGCTCCAGTTGTAGATGTATGTATGTACTTGGGTAACCACTTACTGAACATACGTTTTCGTCTGTGCGTCATTGTCAGATTTCATTACTCACGATACTCCTTTGTGGGGATTAATTAACGATGACAGCGGTTTGCACGTGGTTAGACTTCATTATTGTATTCTAAATATTCCGTCTGTCGCAGTCGATAACTGAAACTTCTATTACCAGGAAGGGTATACGAGTCTGACATTCAATTATTTTTAGGACATGTGTTACCAAGACCTTGAAAACATGAAGGCTGAATAAATTTATCATTGCCTCTATAAACGTTTAGATACACCCTATTTTATGCAATATAATTAAGTATTACACTAATGTTAAACAGTAACTTGTGTATACTTAAAATATAACCCCCCCCCCCCCAGGTTTTTGTTTTTTAATTATATACAGCTTTATCAGCAATGCTCTTATATACTTGTATATATTATTATTGCACCGAGTTGTAATATTTGTTATCTATTTTCCTCTGTTAGGTTCTCAGGGACACTCCCAAAGCCAGGCGTGAGGTAGATCTACATTGGAGAGCATCAGGGTGTTTACATATTGTCAATGTCATAGATGTTTATGAAAACAATCACCACGGCACCAGATGTTTACTAGTAATTATGGAATGGTAAGGCCCAATCTCACTTTGCTGATTATAATTTGTTAAATGTTTGTTTTGTATCATTTAAAATGTTTTTCAGGAATCAAGACACATTGCTATGCACCACAAGAAAATAATTCTTTTATATAATATTCACAATACTATAGTTTACTAAAGTCTTGTTTATTAGTTGCATATGTAGTTTCAATTCATTACTAACCAATTACAGTACAACTTCTTCCACTCATTAAAGAAACAAGTCTAGTGTGATATTTTTAGCTTGTTCATTCACTTTCAATTTGCATATGACTGGATTACACAAGATTGCCATCTTGTTGTTGATTTCAAATGGGCACTACAGTTTCTGTAGTCAGATTCATGTATCAGACAGGCCCAAGACAATGCAATGTACTTGCTGTATACCCTAAATGCACTGAATCAAATTCTTCACTCGCCATTTATTTAAAAATACTGAAATGTCAAATTCACTATAATTGAACATAGTAACTGTTTCTTATTCTACTATTTTTTAGCCATTTTATTTTTTTGCTGCTGGAAATTTTTACTGACTGCAAAATTGAAGCAGTTTTACAAAATATTTGGAATAATATCTGCCTTATTTGTTTTTTTTGTTTACCTTTGAACAAAAACTTTGATATGATTGTCTCTTCCACAGGATCATTGCATCTGATATGGCTTCTTGATTATATATAATACTAATACATGTACTTGATTTAAATAAAATTATATTCTGAATCTGTGTCTTAATCATTGGGGCAGGGAATACTCTGCCAACTGTCAGTGCTTTGCATGCATTAATGTGAGCAAGGCAATTTAATTCTTACCATTCCAAATTTTGAGGTTTAATAGTGTAACATTGGTTTATCAGATTAATAAGTAAGTAAATACAAATACATGTACAGACAAACAATCGATTGAGTTTGTACATGAATAACGAGGGAATAAACACTGTCACCATGTCAACCACAAAATGGCTTTTTTAAAATTTGGTTTAATAATAGAGCAAGGTTAGAATGGATATAATTGCTTTATTCCCGAAAAATCTTGAAAAACATTACCGGTATGTAAGATTTGTACTTAATGCTGTTGTTTTGTAATTTCTTGTCCCTTTAAATTTATTCTAAAGGCTGTTTGAATGTAATTTAACAACCCAACCCTTCTTAGAACTAGTAGCTGTCTGTCTTTTGAGTTTGTAATATTTATTTGTCACATTTGTTATTGTTGGATACATAGCTGGTGAATAAGTTATAATATGCATTAACAAGATAGAGCTTTCATTTTTGTAAATACTGTAAACCACTTATTTTTACGAGAGACAACTCGCGAATTTTAAGATTACCATCAAATTATGAAATTGCAAATGATAAAACTAACAGCGTTGAAAATTAAGTGGTTAACAGTATCAGTGCTCGTACTTCCTGTCAGTTCATGGAAATTGATAGTTTAGAATCAGGTTTTATTTTCTTAATTTATGTATTGTATAATGTGTTACTTGATAGCAGGACTTCCTCTCGTATAAAATACAATGTACTGTGAAATTACTAATTTTCACTGGGTTTAAATTAATGATTAGCATTTCAGGCATATTCAATGGGTTTTAAATTCACGGTTTTATCATTTAGATAATGTGTTCTATGCTAAATTTTACATATTCACTGGGTTTTCATTTAGCGCATTTTCCAGTCGGCAAAATAAGCAAAATTAAAACCCAGTGAATAATTAACCCTTTTACAGTAGTTGCATCTGTTCATAGACTCTTAGGTCTATGGTGTGTTATATACAAATGTAATAGGCATCATTTTTTTTTTTTTTAACAAAATCAAAATAATAGTGTGTGCATAATCACCTCTGTTAGTCCATTAACAAATTTGATTGTTTATTTCAGTATGGAAGGTGGCGAACTATTTAGTAGAATACAAGACAGAGCTGATAGTGCATTTACGGAGAGAGGTAAGTACATTATGGATATAAATAAAGGCTCCCCAAGGAAATGATCGTTATAATCGCTTCAACGTACTGATTACACACACCTGGTAGATTGATGTGCTTGAAATAGACTTTGTATTTTAAACAAAAAATTTATTTGGATCTTTGTAAAAAAATACACATCTCATTTCATTTGCTTTGTACAATAAATTTATGCAAAATAAAATCCACAAATTATGAAGCGACCTGGACAATTTTTTCAGAAAATTCCCCCATTTCTTAATATGAGTATTTAGCTTATTTCTTCTAATAGACTTCCATAGGCTATCATTGTCTTATTGTTGTCTACTACATGTACCCGGTAGTTGTATTTCTTTATACTGTAAAATACTTTATTTTAGCTGGAATTCATTATTCTGTGAAAAGACTTTTTGTGTGTCATGTATGGAATTTATTTTCACTGATTTTTTTGTTGAATGTAAAATATAGGAAAAAATGTATATTCACTGGAATTTAAGTTGACTGAAAATAGTGCAAATTAATTCCAAGCAATTATTTTGTAATGTGTACTGTCAAAAGATTGTAATATGTTCATTTCTATTATTATTATGTATGTATAATTAAACTGACCTTTCACTTTTACATAAAAAACTTGAAACTAACGTCTATTCTGCATAGTCAGTGTACGTCATGTATAAACCCAATATTGACAAGAGTTTTTACAATCAAACTGTGCAGTACAAGTATGTCAACTTTAAATTGAATCAATCACGCTTGCACTATAATAGCAACTTGACCCGGCTGACTACTACTTGTTATTGTTGATTCATGTGTTATTCAGCCATTTCATAGACGCTCACTTCTCAGATGAATTCCACTAAAATAAAAAGTGACGATGACAGTCTACTTCGACCTTGCCCCCATCTTCCTCCTTTTGTGCTTCAGTCTTCGCATACGTTTCTTCCTCCACTTCGCCCTCATGTTTATCGTAACAGTTTCAATCAACATTTTTAAATGCAAGTAATGAGACAAAATTAGTAATTGAAATTCATGAGTGCATGTTTTGTGATCTGGCGCATCAGCACACTTTCTAATTGCAGCGTAAAACCTTCATTTTAAGTGTCACTTATTACAGTGACAAATGCATGGTTGCTAATACTGTAAATTGATTTTGTCTAATGTTTGATTTTTGGATTTGATAATTTTATGATATTCGTGAATGGCTCGCTCTTTTTAATATTTTAAATGAAATGTTCACTGCTACAAAATGTACAATGAGTGATGACCATGCTACAAAGTTTACAAAAGGCTTTCGCTGAATCTTTGCCAAAAAATTGCAAAAAAGTTTTTGTTAAAATTTACAGTTTACATTTGATGCATATACGGTAACTCGAAATTTTTTTTTTTGAAACTGAAATAATAAAATATTATTTATTTTGATCATAAAAATACCAAATACCACTTTAATTTATGTAAGCATGTATGCTACTAATAAAGCATACATATACAGTACATCAATAAGATTTTTTAAAATCGTAACTCCTTCTGATAAGCCAAAGCATCTCCAAGTGAATTGTTTTCTTTTGTGTGTTTTCTTTATTATAGAAGCATCACAGATAGTGACTGACATTGGTAAAGCTATTTTTCATCTTCACAATGTAAACATTGCGCATCGAGACGTCAAACCGGAGAATCTCCTTTATAACGACAATTCACCGCATGCATTATTGAAATTAACCGATTTCGGGTTTGCTAAAGAGACAACCAATACATTGTTACAAACGCCGTGTTATACCCCTTATTACGTTGGTAAGTTGTGAGTTTTTACAATTCACTATATGTTTACTTTTGGAAACATGAGTACTTTCTCAACAGAACAGTGTGTAGTAAGACATACTTATAATAGTATGGATTTATTAGTCCCCGTTTGGACGAAGTCCGAAAACAGGGACTTATAATTTGGTCTCCGTCTGTGCGTCCATGCGTCCATGCGTCCGTCCGGAGTCATATCTCAGAATCCCTTGGACCGATTCCGTTCATTCTTTGCATGTGCCTAGTACTTTATATGGGACATGTGCACATGCAGTGGTTTAGCGATTCGATTCAAAATGGCCGACTGGCAGCCATCTTGTTTTTTGAAAATGTTGTATTTTGGACATGCTTTGTCAGTTTTCATTCAAATTTGGTACATAGATTATACATGTTAGGATACATGATTTATTTCACAATTGGATCAAAGATGGTCGACTGGCAGGCATCTTGTTTGTTTTTTTATACGGTATCTTGGAAGTGCTCTGTCAGTTTTCATTCAAATTTGGCACATACATGTACTTTATACATGTTAGGATGCATGTCCATAACAATTTGTTTCAAAATCTGGTCAAGGATGGCCGATTGACAGCAATCTGACTTTTTGGCATATCTGTGTGTTTCATAATCAGATCAAAGATGGCCAAATAACGGCTGTTTTTATTTTTGGCCATATTACTACTACACGGAACACGTGTTTTGATGTAAATAAACAATCTGTTGTATACGCCACTTGTTTTTTGTAATTTGATTCAATATGACTGCCAATTCTTGTGTAAAAGCACTAAATCATAATTTTTTACAAATCCATCTCCTATTAATGGTTTCAATCTAATCTCAATGACTTCATCAGCATCAAATTGATATGTCAGATCACAAAATTTGGGACAGGGACTGTGTCATTAACAATGACTTGTTTTGTATTATTTATACTTGAGCCATTTGTTTGTACCGGTAATCCTGAACTATTCATCTATATATCTATATATAGTTATTTTATATTTACTTTGCTCACAGCTCCTGAAGTGCTCGGTCCAGAAAAGTATGATAAATCTTGCGATATGTGGTCATTAGGCGTCATTATGTACATTCTGTAAGTCGGTATTTGAATATTTCAAAATGTTTTTACGTCTTCTCCCAGAGTTAGTTAATAATCTGGGGTTATCTAATAAAGAATTTATGTTGGATTTTTTTTTTAACTGAGTAGCAACATTAGAATTCAGGATTTAAAAATAACTTTCTTTGAAGAAATTAATTTCGAAATCATCACTCCTTACATCCAAATTAATTTGGTTTTTGTATCATGATTGTTATGATATGCCTATTTACTCTACTTGTATCATTTCTCCTTAGTTTGTGTGGTTTCCCACCATTTTATAGCAATCATGGCATGGCTATTTCACCAGGAATGAAGAAGAGGATACGAAATGGACAATACGAGTTTCCAAATCCCGAGTGGAGTGAAGTATCAGACGTAGCAAAAGATCTCATTAGGTGTTTGTTAAAAACCGATCCCAGCGAAAGAATGACAATTACTGAGTTCCTGCAACATCCATGGGTCACGGTAATTTGCAATTATTTTGTTATTAATCGATTCCTCCTTCTGAATGATGTCGCATCCTTGTAGACTTCCATGACTCAGTTTATTGCCTGCTTTGATGTATCACTAGTTTTAATGGATGGCCTTTTAAAGTAAGAATCCTGCTTGCAGGAATTGTGCTGTTTTGTTTTATATTGCTGGTGGGGCACTGTTCTTTCAAAGATTAGGTCCAAAGCTGGTTTTAAAAATATTGATCAGTCTTAAGGAAGTGTGAGCATGTACTGTGCATTTCATTTCTAGATCCTGGAATTTTTAGGATAAATTCTAAAAAAATGGATCATGGTTTTCTATTTGGATGTTAATATCATACTCTCATCCAACTGGTTGCCTGAAGTCTGTGTGTTGTTGCTGGTGTGTTATCTGCTCTAATGTGTTTGATTGATGGTAGTCTTAAAAATTTATGCTTACGATATCTCTAATTCAGAAAGAACTCTGGTTTATCAATAGTACCGTTAATTTCCTAATATAAGCCGCATATGTAATAGTAACTACACCCTCAATTCCGACTTCAGGGTTAAAGCTGGTCCAAAACAGCATTGTTCCTATTCATTTGTTTCGACAACATGCCTAAAAAATATTCACTCCTATTTATTGTTCGGCAGTCATAAGATGTCAGACACGCAATGGAACTGCTTTTGTTTTGGCAGCAACCTTTGTCAATACACCCGTATTTCGTAAGTTTTTTCATAATCAAGTTTTATTGCATCCTTAGAAATTACAATATTTCTTTTGGTAAAAAGCAATAAATATATCCATACACAACACAATTACAATACAATATAAATAAATCTGTTAAAGTTTTCTGTACTCCATGGCTTTAAGTAGATAGGTCCCCATACATTTAATTGCCTTGGAGTCCTTGTTTTTGACAATGTGCTGTTATTCCCATAAAAGTGTTAAATTCTTCTTCAATACTCAGTTTATCTTTTCCCAACGTAATCAAAGCCAAAAGATTGCACTTACAACATCGGTAAATCTCATTCACCATGAAGTCGCTGAACTGTCATTAACATATTAAAATGAGCTATGGTAATTCAAACACATTGGCACCATCCAGCATTTTGATTGGTTAATTTGCGACTTGACCTATCTGGTCAATAAACACAGTTTCAGATCCCTTGTGTGCATGGGAAAAAAACATGGTGAATATCGTATCGCATGGAGCATTTACATGTGACCGAAATCATTTGTTTACGGTGAAACTAAGTTGAATTTTACTTGCATTTCATAACAATTCAACAAATTAATTTTTTGTTCGTCATTACAATCACTTCTGAGTAAAAAACAACAATTTCAACACTTTGAAAACAAATAAGTTATACACTTGTGAAATGCAGCATGATCAGATTGCGCTACCATACTGTGATCATTTGCTACTAAGCAATGAATTTGTGTTTTTATTTGAAACTTCTTTTAGAATATACCTTTCAAAATTAAAACAATAAATGCACATTACATTAAATATACTGAGTATTTTTGTCATTTTTGGTAAAAAGTGATATTTTCGACTTCTTGTTGAAAACCGCAAGTTCGATTGCTTTTATAATACATATATAGGTACTACATGTGGATCTCCTTCAGATTTGTTAATTTCGTTGTGAAATCTTCAATTATTTAATTTTGATGATTATTTTTGTCATTTTTGGTGAAAAGTGATATTTTTGACTTCTTGTTGAAAACCGCAAGTCCGATTGCTTTTATATTACATATATACGTACTACGTGTGGACTTGTTTCAGATTTGTCCCATTGCTTTTTATATATATATTGTTCATTTTCTAATGATATCTTCAGTTCTTTAATTGTAATGTGCATTGCTAACAGCGGAGCTATCTCAGCCGAGAGGCTGCTTGTTTTTATCAAGTGTTTTTTTGATTGACTGTAATTGACTGTAATATTGTACGGTGTATTGTTTGTTTTATGCATGTGTTGTTGGAAATAATGACCATGCCCATTTAGTGATTGCAATATTGACGTAATATAAACAGCAAACCAAATTTAAACTTTTGACCCAAATTTTTAAATTCATACATTGTACATGTAATATAAACCACGGTTTATAGTAAGACTTTCACATATACTAATTTTGATTGAAGCCACTTGATTCAGAATAAAGTTTATAAAATCCTATTTATTTTCAGCAACCATCTGAGGTGCCAATGACGCCATTGATGTCTGCTCTAGTCTTAAAAGAGGAAGAAGCTCAGTGGGATGAAGTGCAAGTAAGTAGTCTTCACCATGTAATCATGAGGGATGGATAAAGAATGGAGGGGGGGTGAAATACCAGAATCATTCCATTAGTTTTTCCACCCTTGTTTTCAGAGATTATAATCAAGCAATTTTAAAATCAAAGATTTTGTTTATATGCCATTATTTGATGTCAGTTCGTGTAAAACTTGTAAGTGTTTGCAACTGTCTAAATTATAGAGCAAACTGTAACATTAGAAAAACCTATGGAAGTGTCAGTGAAACTATGGTTATCCTAACAAAAAGATTGTAGCAGAAGTAAGTTGAAAAGCTCTCAATTGAATTTAATGTATCAAATGGCATTTTACTGTGCTATCCTGGTGTCAACCAGGTCAAACACAAGCACCTGCGGACCTTAATCAAGGTTCCCCCCAAGTTGCATTTGTTAGTGAATGAATCTCGGCGAGTGGAATTGGCCTTCCCATTGAGTCTGTGGCACACTTACCCAGGGTAGGGGTCAACCCTTTTTGGTGTTCAGCTTAGAGTAGGATTTGAACTTGGGTCTACCGATCATGAGTCTGATGCAACAACCACTATTCTAGCAGTAACTGGTCTGTTCAGAAATAATGTTATCAGAAATGTCCATAAAAGTGAATATGAAAGAAAGTTACCTCCTCCTTAAGGTGAAAAGATTACTGCAAGACTAGTGAAATGAACAAACATTTTTTCATTTGCAAGAATTCTGTTCATGGCAGTTTTTGAGCTTTTCTTTTTTACTTTGTATATTTTGTCTGTTTGCAAGTGTATCATCACAAACCATGTGGAAAAAATACAATATTAAATACATGTGTGAATGTTATTCATTCTGAAATTCATTTCTGTTTTGTTTTACTACAGGATGAAATGACTAATGCATTAGCTACGATGCGAGTAGACTACGATCAGTGTCGTATCAAAGACATCAGGGAATCCAGCAATCCCTTACTGAACAAAAGACGTAAACAGAAAAACGTACAGTCGCAGTGAAGCACCAACGACGGCTCTGCTGGGCAACAAATTAAAGTTAAAATATGAACCATAGTATTTTGGTTTAACTAGCATTCTCAAAGAACCATTGACTTTATTTTAAAGGAGAGAATTTGTCTCTCGTTAGTATCTGGACGTCACAGTTACTGTTAGAAACGTGTCGTTTGACGAGTATGTTTAAAATGCAGTTGACCATATTTAGTCAATATAACCATTATGGTCATTCGACAACCAGTTGCTGAATAACCATTTTTTTTTTAAATTGAGTGAAGCCCTCTCTGATAGAACTTTCAGTTTCCTCTGATGTGTTTGATGTTCAAATACAGTGACCTGTGATATTAACCAATCAGGAAATGTGTTTATTTATCACTAGAGGCCTATTCATTCTATATAAATTATGTATATGATGCAGGGTCTGTGACCATTGGTGTTTAATTTTTTACGAGATTAATGACTTAGGATAATCAAAAACTATTTAGGAAAAAATTTAGTTGCTAGTGAATTGAATGATATTAATTGCATTTTCATTAATCCATGATCATGAAAGTAACTTTTAAAACCGCAATCCTTATGAGGGCGGGCGCTGTTGTCAAAGGGGTCAGGGGGATGTTAAGGATGTATTTTTAATTTATGACGAGAGTTGTCATCCACTGTGGAAGTGTTCCTAGCAGCCGAATGATAAGTAAAGTCTCCTAATCTTTTGATTAAAATGACTGTGGATTCCAAGTTTTGAACTACAAAAGATTTTTTACAGGGATATATATAAATAGATACTAATGCTGATGCACCCCCCACTCCCTATTCTCCCACCCCAAGGGGATATTTCCCTGAAACTGAAATAGAACTTCAGTCAGAGAAACAGACTGAATTTTAACTTTTATCATTTTTAACTTCTCGGTGATTCTATTTGGTTTCAGTGCATGCATCGTTTTTATGCAAAGAGAATTGCTATGCCAAAACGTTTTTGTTTTTTTAACTGATGTTTTTTTTTAACTGTTGATGTGAGATAATTAATTCAGTGACACTTGAATGATCAGTTGTATGTGTAATCATGGATAGACTATAAAATAGTCTGTGATAGGCTCGTTGGTTCTGGTTTAATAACCAGAAACCCTTATTCTCATCATGTGATCATGTTCTTTAAAACATTTAGTTTTGTTATAAGGAGATTAAATACAAGTACCCGTACCACATTTGCTCCATTCAAATCCCATCACCAATAGAACTACCAAAACTACATTGTAATAATCCATTACATAACTGGTTTGCTGTTATAAGAGACATGCTTCTAATAGAGCAAATATGGTAATGATATACATTACTGTATTTGCTCTATTAGAAGTGCATATGAACCAAAAATTACAATTTAATTACAATTTAAAATGTCATCATTTATCTGGCACTGTGTCTTGGCTACAGTGTTGAGACAAATTATACATGTACAAGACATTGCCACACACAGATGGATTTTTATGCATACAATTAGTGACACTGGGAAAACAACACATTAGATTCTCTCCTGCACATTCACAGAAATTGTAACACTGCAGAGATGAGCAATACTTGCTAATTAAAGATGATCAGTCTCTTCCTTTTTCTTTCCAACCATCATTACAGGTAATGCACAAGACATGGTTTAAAAGTGGCATCTCTGTCACCATATCAACATTGTATTTCAGTGGGCTGTCATCTCAGTGTCAAGCATGGCTGCTAACATAATCACATTTTGGTCATTCATGCAAGATTTTTTCAAATCCGATCCTACGCAGAATGGTCAATGATTTGGTCAATTTGTAAGATGTTCATAGATCATGTAGGTCAGTGTTGACCTTCGTAACCTGTGGGCAAGGATAGACCCACATTTTAATCTACCCAGTTACTCACAACGAGATCCATGTTAGAAAGAAATGGAATCTGTAATCAATAGAAACTAAATTTATTCAGTAATGGCAAAGATTTCTGAGGTCATATTTACCAAAAATTCAATTTATTTTCTACCCACCAAAACTGTCTATTTGTATTTCTTAGATGGGAAGGGGACTATACATATATTAATATAAAACTGATTATTGCAAATAATAATACTGTTCATTTAATCTATTTACATAAATATAATTGGATGGTACAGTTGTAATGGTCAGCCTCATCACTGGAATTTCAGGGAATTTCATGACTTGTGAGCAACTGAGATACCTGGCTATGCAGTTTATGTATCAACAATAGGTTACAGTTTTTTTATTTCACTTGTTTTATATCCCAATAAATATATCCTAAAAATGTATTTCTTTGGTATTTATATAATCATTTCTCTAATGTATATATGCAATAGTATTTTTTTTGTATCCTACAAAAGGTGATGAGTCTTTAACAATTAAATGACTGAGATATCAATCGTACTTGGCATGCATGGGCAGATGAGAGTCAAAATAGTGTGAATGTTACACAAGATGATTACAGATAGGCAAGTTTTGTTATTCAACTTGCCTGCTTCTTGGTGGAAGCATCAATTCGTTCCAGAAAATTGGTTTTCTAATTTTTTTTTCCAGAATTTTACAAAAAATTAAATTTAAAAAAAAATGGTATTCATGGAAAATTAAAATAAAAGCACAATTTGAATGTTGAATCAAGAGCTGGAAACTGTTCTTTTATGATTGAGTTTTTACATTAACTAAGAAATTCTGCCAAATACAGCAATTATGCGACTGTCATTTGCAGACTTCTGTTGGGTTGATGGTTTGGAGAAAATCCTTGCGTAACATTTTTTGAATAGGTTGATATATAATATACTGGTTTCCATGGAAACCCACTATGTTTCATTATTCATCTATTTTGAAACAGTTCCCTTAAAGAGCCTCCTGAACACTCTTAATTGAAATCCCTTTCCTTCTAACACATGCTATTTACATTGCAATTCAGAGGCAAGATGTAAGGTTTTCCAATCAGTGGATTGATTTTCTAGGTGGCTGATTATGTTTAGTTCTGACAATGTTATTATAGGCATCAGCTCTTAGTAAATTACATGCTAAACATGAAATGCTCTGTTAAAATTACTGTGCATGTATTGACATTTTAGCGAGATTGGGAGTGTCACTTTAATACAATATACGATAAGAAAAAGTGGGATTTTACATTTGCAAATTACATAGATGTGCATCCCTGGGAATTTGATGTGCCACTTTTGGAAAAGCACAGATGCGCAGCCTTTGGAATGGCATCGATAATGTACAGCCCTGGGAATAACTTTGCGAATAGAGATTTACATGGATGTGCATCCCTAGGAATTTGATGTGCCACACTTGAGAAAAGCACAGATGTGCAGCCTTTGGAATGGCATCAATCATGTACAACCCTGGAAATAACTTGGTAAACAGAGAATTGCATAGACGTGTAGCGCTTGGAATTGTATAGATGTGTAGCCCTAGGAATTGCATAGATGTGTAACCCTTGGAATTGTATAGATGTGTAACCCTTGGAATTGTATAGATGTGTAACCCTTGGAATTGTATAGATGTGTAACCCTTGGAATTGCATAGATGTGTAGCCCTTGGAATTGTCTAGATGTGTAGCCCTAGGAATTGCATAGATGTGTAACCCTTGGAATTGCATAGATGTGTAACCCTTGGAATTGCATAGATGTGCAGCCCTAGGAATTGCATAGATGTGCAACTCTTGGAATTGCATAGATGTGTAGCCCTTGGAATTCCATAGATGTGTAACCCTTGGAATTGCATAGATGTGTAACCCTTGGAATTGCATAGATGTGTAACCCTTGGAATTGCATAGATGTGCAGCCCTTGGAATTCCATAGATGTGTAACCCTTGGAATTGCATAGATGTGCAGCTCTGGGAATTACATAGATGTGCAGCCCTTGGAATTGCATAGATGTGTAACCCTTGGAATTGCATAGATGTGCAGCCCTAGGAGTTGCATATATGTGTAGCCCTTGGAATTACATAGATGTGCAGTCCTAGGAATCGCATAGATGTGCAGCCCTTGGAATTGCATAGATGTGTAACCCTTGGTATTGCATAGATGTGCAGTCCTAGGAATTCCATAGATGTGTAACCCTTGGAATTGCATAGATGTGTAACCCTTGGTATTGCATAGATGTGCAGTCCTAGGAATTCTATAGATGTGTAACCCTTGGAATTCCATAGATGTGTAACCCTTGGAATTGCATAGATGTGCAGTCCTAGGAATTGCATAGATGTGTAACCCTTGGAATTGCATAGATGTGCAGTCCTAGGAATTGCATAGATGTGTAACCCCTGGAATTGCATAGATGTGTAGCCCTTGGAATTGCATAGATGTGCAGCCCTAGGAGTTGCATAGATGTGTAGCCCTTGGAATTGCATAGATGTGTAACCCTTGGAGTTGCATAGATGTGCAGCCCTAGGAGTTGCATAGATGTGTAGCCCTTGGAATTGCATAGATGTGCAGTCCTAGGAATTACATAGATGTGCAGCCCTTGGAATTACATAGATGTGCAGCCCTAGGAACTACATATATGTGCAGTCCTAGGAATTGCATAGATGTGCAGTCCTAGGAATTGCATAGATGTGTAACCCTTGGAATTGCATAGATGTGTAACCCTTGAAATTGCATAGATGTGTAGCCCTTGGAATTGCATAGATGTGCAGCCCTAGGAGTTGCATAGATGTGCAGCCCTAGGAGTTGCATATATGTGTAGCCCTTGGAATTGCATAGATGTGTAACCCTTGGAGTTGCATAGATGTGCAGTCCTAGGAATTGCATAGATGTGTAACCCTTGGAATTCCATAGATGTGTAACCCTTGGAGTTGCATAGATGTGCAGTCCTAGGAATTGCATAGATGTGTAACCCTTGGAATTGCATAGATGTGTAACCCTTAAAATTACATAGATGTATAGCCCTTGGAATTGCATAGATGTGTAACCCTTGGAATTGCATAGATGTGCAGCCCTTGGAATTGCATAGATGTGTAACCCTTGGAGTTGCATAGATGTGCAGTCCTAGGAATTGCATAGATGTGTAACCCTTGGAATTCCATAGATGTGTAACCCTTGGAGTTGCATAGATGTGCAGTCCTAGGAATTGCATAGATGTGTAACCCTTGGAATTGCATAGATGTGTAACCCTTAAAATTACATAGATGTATAGCCCTTGGAATTGCATAGATGTGTAACCCTTGGAATTGCATAGATGTGCAGCCCTAGGAGTTGCATAGATGTGTAGCCCTTGGAATTGCATAGATGTGCAGTCCTAGGAATTACATATATGTGCAGTCCTAGGAATTGCATAGATGTGCAGTCCTAGGAATTACATAGATGTGCAGCCCTTGGAATTGCATAGATGTGCAGCCCTTGGAATTGCATAGATGTGTAACCCTTGGAATTGCATAGATGTGTAACCCTTGGAATTGCATAGATGTGTAACCCTTGGAATTGCATAGATGTGTAACCCTTGGAATTGCATAGATGTGTAACCCTTGGAATTGCATAGATGTGTAACCCTTGGAATTGCATAGATGTGCAGTCCTAGGAATTGCATAGATGTGTAACCCTTGGAATTCCATAGATGTGTAACCCTTGGAATTGCATAGATGTGCAGTCCTAGGAATTGCATAGATGTGTAACCCTTGGAATTGCATAGATGTGTAACCCTAGGAATTGCATAGATGTGTAACCCTAGGAACTACATATATGTGCAGTCCTAGGAATTGCATAGATGTGCAGTCCTAGGAATTACATAGATGTGCAGCCCTTGGAATTGCATAGATGTGCAGCCCTTGGAATTGCATAGATGTGTAACCCTTGGAATTGCATAGATGTGTAACCCTTGGAATTGCATAGATGTGTAACCCTTGGAATTGCATAGATGTGTAACCCTTGGAATTGCATAGATGTGTAACCCTTGGAATTGCATAGATGTGTAACCCTTGGAATTGCATAGATGTGCAGTCCTAGGAATTGCATAGATATGTAACCCTTGGAATTGCATAGATGTGTAACCCTTGAAATTGCATAGATGTGTAGCCCTTGGAATTGCATAGATGTGCAGCCCTAGGAGTTGCATAGATGTGTAGCCCTTGGAATTGCATAGATGTGTAACCCTTGGAGTTGCATAGATGTGCAACCCTTGGAATTGCATAGATGTGCAGCCCTAGGAGTTGCATAGATGTGTAGCCCTTGGAATTGCATAGATGTGCAGTCCTAGGAATTACATAGATGTGCAGCCCTTGGAATTACATAGATGTGCAGCCCTAGGAACTACATATATGTGCAGTCCTAGGAATTGCATAGATGTGCAGTCCTAGGAATTACATAGATGTGCAGCCCTTGGAATTGCATAGATGTGCAGCCCTTGGAATTGCATAGATGTGTAACCCTTGGAATTGCATAGATGTGTAACCCTTGGAATTGCATAGATGTGTAACCCTTGGAATTGCATAGATGTGTAACCCTTGGAATTGCATAGATGTGTAACCCTTGGAATTGCATAGATGTGTAACCCTTGGAATTGCATAGATGTGCAGTCCTAGGAATTGCATAGATGTGTAACCCTTGGAATTCCATAGATGTGTAACCCTTGGAATTCCATAGATGTGCAGTCCTAGGAATTGCATAGATGTGTAACCCTTGGAATTGCATAGATGTGTAACCCTAGGAATTGCATAGATGTGTAACCCTTGGAATTCCATAGATGTGTAACGCTTGGAATTGCATAGATGTGCAGTCCTAGGAATTGCATAGATGTGTAACCCTTGGAATTGCATAGATGTGTAACCCTTGGTATTGCATAGATGTGCAGCCCTAGGAATTGCATAGATGTGTAACCCTTGGAATTGCATAGATGTGCAGTCCTTGGAATTGCATAGATGTGTAACCCTTGGAATTGCATAGATGTGTAACCCTTGGAATTGCATAGATGTGTAGCCCTTGGAATTGCATAGATGTGTAACTCTCGGAATTGCATAGATGTGCCATCCTTGGAATTGCATAGATGTGTAGCCCTTGGAATTGCATAGATGTGTAACCCTCGGAATTGCATAGATGTGTAGCCCTAGGAATTGCATAGATGTGCAACCCTTGGAATTGCATAGATGTGTAACCCTTGGAATTGCATAGATGTGTAACGCTTGGAATTGCATAGATGTGTAACCCTTGGAATTGCATAGATGTGTAACCCTTGGAATTGCATAGATGTGTAACCCTTGAAATTGCATAGATGTGTAGCCCTTGGAATTGCATAGATGTGCAGCCCTAGGAGTTGCATAGATGTGTAGCCCTTGGAGTTGCAT